CTTTTCATCCCACTGGAATTCTTGAAGGCAAGGACTATATCTTTTTCACTTTTGTATATCTAGTGCCTAATACATTGTAGCACATAAAACTTTTAGTAAATGAACTCAACAGTACATGTGCTGCCCAGGACATTGTTTGGAAGATGAATCCATGCCTTGAAGGGTCCCTGGGCAACTTTAGCACATGTCTATCCTCTCCTGGCTGTAAGCACTTTGAGTTTGGGAACATGGAATCATTGTTAGACATGGAAAGAACTTCAGAGCTCAAGAGAAGCAGGACGGGGAAGGGGATATGACAATAGAAGCAGTGTCAGAAAGGAGAGAAGATGCTCTGCAGCTAATTTTGAAGATGGAGAAAGGGGCCATAAGCCAAGGAATGTAGGTGGTTTCCAGAAGCTGCAAAAGGCAAGGAACAGACTCTACCCTAGAGCCTTCAGAAGAAGCATAGCCCTGCCTACACCTTGACTTTAGCACTCTGAGGCTGATCTTGGACTTCTGACCTCCAGAACTACAAGATAACAGATTTGTGTTGTTTTAAGCCACCAATTGCAGCAGCAATAGAAAATTAATATAGATTATTGTTATTTGTATAGGATGGATCCAGAGAAGCATAGGTGTGTGTGTGTATATCACTGTAAATGTACATGAAAATGCATTATGCCTTTATTGATGATAAAAGCAGCACTAAGGAAATCTTAAGCAGGACCAGCAGGTGAGCAGATCTGCCACTATAAACTGCTCAGCGCTTGTATATCAACCACACACCTGAAACAAGTTTCTGTGACAGTGCCCCTGGGACAGTGCAGACAATGTGTTCCTCTTCTCTGGAGATGACCAGCCTACATGGCCTTTCCAGGCACTTTATAGAAAGATACAGCACCTTTGGAGTGTGACAAACATTAATGGCAGTGCTTTATCCTTTGGGAGAGGGGAAGCTTAACATGGAAAGAAGAAAAAGGGCCTAAAGGAGAAATTCAAGTGAAAAAGCAGAGTAGATAGTCATCACCTTGAATTGGCTGGGTTTGGGACAAGCAGGTGCCCTGATGACTTGACCCACCTGGAACTCCTGCTTCCTTTGTGCCTCTTTGTCTGCATGGCAGGCTGCAGTCTAGTTCTACTCCATGCCACAGTCAGGGTGGGAGGCACTGGTTCCACTCTAGGTGGAAGACCTCATGTCAGTGGATACACAGATTATGGAGCCAGTCGCAGCCAGTGAACATATCATAAATGTTCTGTGCCTGATATATGCCTTATCCTGGAGACACTGTCACCACCCTTCCAAGTTCCTGAAGGCTTGCTCCATAGTGCCCCCAGAAAGCCAAGAGCCACTTACTGAAATACAATGAGTGATGATTTGGTGTTACGAGGCTGCCAGCCATGATGGATGGAGAAGGTATGCTCTATTCACCCATAAGGACAAGCTTTATGGCCACAAGGCTTTCCCCATTTCTTTTTGGATAGAGGAGAAGAGAGTGCCTGCACCTCCCGTAGGGCAAAAATAACTTGCCTTCAATACATGTGAATTAAGGCTGGATCCAGTCAGTTTTACTTGCCCTGAGCAGCCAACAAATGCTTGGTTGCAATGAAGATCAGGACCCGCCACAGCTTGAGGAATTACTGAAAAGTACAGATGCCTATTTGTATAGTTCTTTTTCTGCCCTTTGGGGCAGGACACCTCAATATGTGTGCCTCCAATAGCCCCGGCACACATCAGGAAGCCATATTGTTGTCCAGAACCTCTCCATGACCTCCTCCAAGTCAGACTGGTTTTCTAGGAGGTGCCGAACAGTAGCACAGATGGCATCCACAACCTGGTGGACAATACACCCAAAACTAGCTCTGCCCACTTCAGAGAGCTCAGTTACACAGCCCAGAGGCACCAGGGAGGCCAGCAGATACATTCCAATAGCTACTTTCTGACACACAGAGGAAGGTAGCTTCGTGTGGGTGGCTTCCCTTTGAAGATTTGGGACCAGCTTTTTGCAGATACCATAAAATGTCTCCTGAGACATCCAGAAGGCTTGCCTCCATCTGTGAGGGCTAAGTCTGTCTGCCTAGAGTTCTTGCCAAAGATGGATTGTGTAGGGAGAGCCCCAGTCCTGTGTGCTCTTCTCCCAAAGGACTGGGACATGGATGGCTTTCTGAGCAGAGAGTGGATGACTGCATGGGTCATCCAGGTATGGAGGACAGCTTGATTCAGGTGGACCTGCATGGCCTGGGCCAGGGCAGCCTCTTTGTCAGCCTCTTTACTCTCAGCCAAGCATGGCAACAGTGGCTCCCATTTGCAGGGTGGCTTACATAACCAGCGGCAGCACCCCCTGGGCTGAATTCACAGAGCATGCTTTGGGGTTTGTGGGTGCCACTGAGCTGAGTTAGGCAGAATGATATGTTGCTGTATATGTCTTTCCTAATGATGGCCAATGAAATTCTTATCCCCTATGTAGGTGTGGGCATCAGGAAGCTCAGGGTTGAGTTAGCTGATGAATATCAGGCCTGCCGTTATGAACTGGATGTAATGAATGTAATTCCATCCGTGTAACCACACATCAGCAACTTCTGTTCATTTTCTTGCAGACTGAGTCAGCAACCCAGCTATGGTAAAAGAGCTCAGAGCAAATTAGACAAGGTTCTTAGTGTGCCTTCTTTTCTTCACAGACAAGACTTCTCAATGACTCCTTCTGGAGGACTTTTCATTTCTCTTGGGCTTCTGGATCTCTTCACAAAGCAAACACACTGGTGAAATTCTATGGGAAGTCCCCTTCCACACACTAAAATCAAGGATTACTCCGAAAATACAAAGACCTTCACTTGTCTTGATCATCTGATGCTCCCACAAGGAAGTACCTGAAGAGATGATCAGTTAATCTTTTGGAGGGCAAGAAGATAAAATGCTTTTCAATCTCAGGCACCTGGCTTTTAGTTAAAAATTACACCCTGGATTTCAACTTCTTTATTATGAAGGACCTGCTTCACAAAAGCACAATAAATCAGTTATTCCTTAGAGTTTTCAGAATGAACAACCACAAGACGGAATAACTTTAACATTAGCATTTATAGTTCTAGATTTGAGAGTTCCACATTGCCAAGTCACTTATAATGACCCTATGAGGGCTTAATGTCAGGACTGAGAGACTGTTAAGGATTTCACACATCACTGCAATGCCTTTCCTGATGTTTTTTTCCCTAGTGAAAATCTACTTCTATATCGTCACGTGTCCTTTGGGCTGATCTTTTTCTAAGAGCTGGTGTCCGTCCTACGTAGGATTAGGAGTGTTCATATCCCAGCTCCATAGGCTGTATGTGTCTAGGGAAGATACCTCCTCTCAGTGCGTGTCAAGGTTCTCCTTGTAAAGCAAATAGGGCGGACTCACCTAACCCTAACGTTGTTACTCTAACATCCTTGGGCTAATTTATATCTTTTTTTAAAGATTATTTATTTACTTTATCTGAGAGAAAGAGAGAGAGAGAGCATGAGCAGGGGCAGAGAACAAGCAGACTCTGCACTGAGCATAGAGTCTGGCATGGGGCTTGATCCCAGGACCCTGGGACCATGACCCAAGCCAAAGGCAGCTGCCTAACCAACTGAGCTACCCAGGCTCCCCTCCTTGGACTAATTTAAAAGGCCAGATCCCATATTAGCTAAAGATGGCTAAAACTGCATCCCAGAGCTTATTTCTAAGCAAGTCTAATAAATACAATGTAGTAAGGGATCCCTGGGTGGCTCAGTGGTTTAGTGCCTGCCTTGGGCTCAGGGCGTGATCCTGGAGTCCTGGGATTGAGTCCTGGATTGGGCTCCCTGCAGACAGCCTGCTTCTCCCTCTGCCTGTGTCTCTGCCTCTCTCTCTCTCTCCCTGTCTCGCATGAATAAATAAATAAAATCTTAATATATGTATGTATATATATATATATATATAATGTAGTAAACATTATGAATTCAGCAATGCATTCCACAAATATTTATTGAGCCTTATTATGTGCTAGGAATTCCAACAGGCACAAGGGATTACATTTCACCTTGTTTATTAGATCAGCAGCTTAGAGAAAGAAAATGCAGTGACTACTCATCCCTTTCTAGGTGGCTGTTTATAAATGGAAAGTCTGTGCTTGCTATTGGTGGCTGATTCTTGACTTGGGCAGGACTGAATATTCTGGCACTCGGGGTTTTATGACTTAGATGAATCCTTCCATGTAGTAATTAAACATATCTCTTATCTGAATGGGAAGGAGTTTATTAGTTAAGGTCACAACCTTGGGGCTCACTGTAATCTCATTTTAATAGTATATTCTCTGTCCACCTGTCGGAAAACTGCTCTCTTACTAAACTTTCTGGCATCTTCCACTTGGAAATAACAGCTTAGCCAACCCCCATTGATCGAGAGGAAATGTGAGTTTCTATTCTGCGTTTTCTGCCTATTTCCTTTGATGTAAGACATCTTCACAATCAGTCTTTAGTAATACCTCCTCCTAACATGTTAAAAACTGAGTGCCTAGTGCTTCCTCCTTTGTTATCATTAACTCAACTTACCACCTTAGATGTCAGGTCTTTTCACAAATCATTTAAAGATCTCCTTAGCAGTCATAGACTGGTCCCATTGAACCCCAGGAGGAGAGATGGAGGCAAGAGGAGTTTCCAGCTGATTTTCGCAGCATCCCATTGCCTACCTTTGAGCAAGTCCTTCTGTTCCTAATTAGTTGCTATCAACTGGTTGGTGGGAAGTGGAAAGGAAGAAAAATGAATGCTCCCAATGCCCCCTCCCCCAGCAACACATAACTTTTAAGAAAAAAAAGGGGGGGGGCAGTACATGGATGAGGACAGTCTAAAAATTTTATTTTTTCCATTCTGGTTTGAAGCTTTTATCACAGAAGCTGCCCCCAGATCACCTTTACTGACTGCTCTACTCTGTCCCTTCTCCCAAGGTTTGCTCTACCTCTCCGCCAGCACCGCCCACGTTACCGCTTCCGGGCCGTCCCTACAGGAAAAGGGGGTTTTGTTAAATTCGAAAACCTGCACCAGGTCCTTGCAGCGCAGATGCAGTGAACCGAGGACTGACCTGACTCGCTGGTTCACCTCTGAGCCGGGCTCTGTTCACCCAACCTGAACTTCGGCTTCTGAGCGGAGACAGGTAAGAACCTGCGGACCCCGGCCCCGGCGGGGGGCACCGGCAGCGTTGGGCCTGCGAGCCGTCCTGCCCTAGCGCGAGCTCCCCTGCAGCGCAGCTCGGGGACTGCCCGGCGGACCTACGCGCAGCCCCAACCCCCCGCGCAGGGCGCGCGCCTCTCACCACTGCGCGGGCCCCAAGGCCTCCCGCCTGCGCTCGCCCTCCGCCCGCCCACCGTCCCTCCTCCCTGGCTCTTCTAGGCCCCTCTCTCCTCCTTGCTTCCTCCAAGCCACGTCTACTTGCTTTAAAAAAAAAAAAAAAAAAAAAAAAAAATATATATATATATATATATATATATATATATATATGTGTGTGTGTGTGTGTGTGTATGTATATATATACACACACATATAATTTATATATTATATAGATATATATTTATATATAATTCTATATTATATAGATATACAAATTATTAATATATATCATATAGATATATGAATATATATACACATATGTCCAATTTGCGGAAAAGTTTTAAAAATAGCTGGAGGGACTCCTATCTGGATTTCTGAAAATCCTCAATTGTCTTCTTTTGCCAGATTGGCCACGCTCTAACCTCTGTGGGAAAACGGTTCTCTCACTCCCCAGGCGGAGGAAAGGATCTCTCCCAGCCAGCTATCTAGGGGTCTGCCCTTACAGGGACAGAAAACTGACTTTGAAGTTAAAAGAGTGTGAAACCCAAAAACCCTCCAGAAGAGATAACAGGTGACTGCGGGCCCTTATTCTTATCAGATACCTGGGCCTTGCTGCTATTAACACTTGAAGTGAGTGAATTCATCAGACTTATTCCAAGCACAGTCTTAGCTGAAAACAGATCCTTGCAACAAAGGAGAGTTGGTAAGCAGAGACAGGTCCACCATGTGAGTGACACCTGGAAGGGACCACCTGAATTGGATTCTGCAGTTTGGGGACTTGGCTCTCAAAATGAAAAAGATAGGCAAAAGTGAGAGGAGAGTGGAAGAAATTTTAAAACCCTTAAAATAAAAATAAAACCTAGAAGTTCTGGCTTCCCATTTCCTCTCTTTGCAGTAAAGACTCTCCCCAGTAATTCGAAAACAACGTTCACAGAAACTTGGTTCTTTGGTGCAAGAAGCTGGCCACTAGAGGATTTTGACTGATAAATAAATGCTTAAATTCAACCTGTAACTACAAGGTTACTCTGCCTCTGTCAGCTTGGTTCTAGTCTCCTAGCTTCTACAATTAGCTGTGTGACTTCCAGAGTCCCTTTTCTCCTCTGTAGGGGAGGGCGTAGATCTGACTGGGGATGCTGTTTGCCAGTGGAACACTGAACACTTTCAGGAGCCAAGCTCATGGTGAGTGGGCTGAATCTTGCTTCTCAGACTTGTTTTGTTTTTAAGTTAGTTGCTAACAATGAAATACTAGGAGATTTCTTATAAAACTCTGGATTTTCATCTTTTTAAAAAAAAAAAAAAGATTCATACATGCCATCAACACTGGACCTACATTTTGCACAAATCAACAAAAGACAGTTACTAGATGCAGTCTTTACCAAGCCAGATTCACACATTCCTACATGTCAGGTGTCCATGGGTATTTGAGACTGGGCCTGTACTCTACCCCCAGTCTAACCCCAGGTAGCACTCATTCCCAGAAGGCTGACCCTGATTTCTCTACTTAGTCTCCTCTTGTACTTCATAGGGCCACACTGGAGCCTTGATCTGCCTCTCGTAAGCATAAGAAAATAATGTTCTAGGAAGCCAAGTTGAAGCCCTCAGTTGATTTAAAACCTATGGAAACTGACCACAAAAGGAAGTGAGTTTGGCCTAGAAAATTAAACAAATTACTTATCCACATAAATAAAAAGGAGCTGATAAAAGAATCTCGAAAGACATAGGAAAGGACATGGCCATGATTAACACTGGGATCCTGTGCTGCTTTTTTCCCTAAGTGCCATAACTTAGAATAGTTTATTGAAAATAAAAATAGCTCTATTTATTGAATGCTTACTGTACACAAGGCAACCTGATGACGCTAGTACTGTTTTTATCCTCATTTTGTGAATGAGGAAGCTGAGGCTTACAGAGGTCAAGTTATTTCCACAGGTCACAAATCTAGTGAGCTGATGGAGGTGGGATTTGAGCCCAGGATTTGAATTAAGAGTGGGAACCCTAGTGTCTTGAAACACTTTGAGTTTAGGGAACTGAGTCAGCCTTTTTGTAGCTCTTCAGATGGATAGAGATGCTCAAAAACTATTGAGTGACAGAAATAAAGAAGAAAAGAATGATAGAAAAAAAGAAGAGAAAGAATGATAGAAAGAAATGAAAAAATGAATAGCCAAAATTTATATTTTTCATGGAAACAATAACATTTAAAATTATTTATTAAATTGAAAAGAATAGGTTTTTAACTTGTTATGACTCCATTTGTCTATCCCCCAGTATATACATTTCTAACTTGTTCATCAGAATGAACAAAATGACTTGTCTAAATAAAAACATAGCAGTATTTTACCTTATCACAGAGGGGAGAAAGGTTTATATAGAATAATTTCTTCTCACTGAAAACTCACTGGCACCTAATAATTATTTCTTTCCTTTTTTTTTTTTTTTTTTTATGTTCACAACTTGCCCTTCAAGAACTTTGCCCCAGGACTGGCATCTATAGTTTGCAGAATCCACTTTCTTCCCCTTTTCACAAATTGGAACAGTGTGTACCCATCCAGCCTTCTGGCACCCCTCCCTGGCTCCACAGTCCCTGAACAACTGCCAACAGTCTTTTCATATATAAATTCTGTTGGTACCCCAAATGGAATTTGTTCAACCTTGGAGACATAAGCTCATTCGAAGCTGGGCGTTCTCTTACAATATCCCACTCATTTTGTGCTCCAGTGTCTTCCTACTGATTCTTGTCTGACGAACATTCAACTTCACGAAAGTTGGATCAGGAAAGCTGGTGTTTTGAGGTGGAAGCCAGGAAGTCCTGGATGCAAATCCAGATTCTGTTACTCTCCAGCAGTATAATCTTGGGCTAAGTAAGTGATCCAATTCTTTGAGCTTCAGTTTGTACCTCTGTAAAATAGGAATAATAATAGCTACTATTATTAGGTTGTCAGACCATAAGGAAGATTGAAAGAGATATTTGGAAGAGTGCTGAGACAAATGGATTGATAATTACAGCAAAGTAGGTGAGATGAATAGATCTGCTTCTTCACAGGTAAATGGATTTATGGGACTTCAGAGTTGGAAGGTACTAGAGAAGCTGCCCAGTCCTGCCTCCCATTCACTAGAACTGGTACTCGTGAACAGTGCATTTCAGCACTCAACAGTTTCTCTCTGTCACGCATTACCACCACATCTTCTGCTCTTTTTTTTTTTTTTCACATCTTCTGCTCTTGATGCACACTCCTGTGCCTTCCATGCTCCATCAAAAGCTTCAAAGGGCCTTTTTTCTGTCAGGCACTTTAACCCCTCAATCTCCTAATTTTTACCACAACCCTATATTGTATGCATTTTTATCTTCACTTTACAGCTGTGGAAACTGAGATGTTAAGTAATTGGTCCAAGGCTACGTAGTTAATAAATGAGATTTAGCCAGTACTGTGTGATTCTGAAGTCCCTATTCTTTTCTTCATTATTACACTGCCTTTTAAAAAAAGGACTGTGCTTATTTTTCTCAAGTCTCAGCTCATCCCCTTGCTCTTCTTTTAGGTGTACCCTTCCACTGTGGACTAAATTATATTGCTCAAAATTCACATGTTGAAGCCTTAACCCCCTCCCCAGTGGTTGTATATGGGAGATACTCAGGGTTAGATGAGGTCATGAGAGTGGAGTGCTCATGATAGGATCAGTGCCCTTATTTGAAGATGCCCCAGAGAGCTTGCTCTCCACCCCCTCCTTGCCCACAAAGAGGAGGTTATGCGAGCACACCGCTTAGAATCAAAAGGAGAGGCCTCAGAATCACACCTACTTTGCAGGCACCTTCATCCTGAACTTCTATTCTAACCTCCAGAACTGTGAGAGATAAAATGTCTGTTGTGTAAGCCACCCGGTCAATGGTGTTATGTTCTGGCAGTCTGAACAAAGACACTGTCTTTGTATCTATGCCTTCTCTTTCCCAGTTGGTCTTTTCCAAATCTGACCTCAATGAGCTTGGATTTCAACCTGCACAGTGTCTGTAGCTCTCAGCTTCCTGCCATCCACATTGTTCATTATATCCTCAGTATCAGATTTTTGACAGCTCTCTCACCTTCTAGAGATATCTTTCTGTTCAGTGTCTCTGGCCAGGTAATCAGACCTAAGTTTTTTTTCCTGAATGGTTTGGCATTTGCCTTCATAAAATCTGACTGTCTGTCCTTGGATACTCCAAAATTTTTAAAAAGATATGGTTACTTCTTACCAAGACTCCTAGTGCTTTCAATGGACTCACTAGCATCTGCTTTGGGATCCAAGTGCCCTCTTACTTCCTGTTTCCTGGGAGTAGTAGTATTGGCCAGGCAAATCAGCAGGTTACCAGAAGCCACATGTGAGACCTCCTGCTCTGCTGACATCTCCTTTCCCTCATCTTTCCCATCTCAAAATCCTTGTGCGTTTGTTTTTATAACCAGTTCAACCCTTGATTGCAGGCTGTACCTCTTATGCAAAATGCTCAGGACCTACAGTTCTTTTTAGGGTCTAAAAAAATGTTTGAGATCTCTGAAAGTAAATAAACTTTAAAAAAAACCTTGCATAATCAAAATTAATATGTGTGTCTTTAAATGTCCACAAATTTATCATCATGAAAAACAACTTGACTCAACTCTACTTTTAGGTGGTAACATATAAACAATGTTTGATGTAAACTATGGGTCCATTTGAACACGTTTGGAATAATGTGGGGATAGTAGGGCCTCTGAGAATGAGAGTGCCTGGAACCTACCCCAGTCTTAAAACAAAGACTTAACAAAGTCTTAAAACAAAGACTTAAAACTATGAACAAAACAGACCTAGTTTCTACCCTTAAAGTCTTAAAAAAGTCTTAAAAAACTCTACTTGATTATGCATTATTTTAAACTTATTCTAATTCCCTAAGTAAACTCTTGATATCTTAGTAAGAATGTAAATAAGTAAGTTAGTCAAATCTATCAATGTATTGGTGTATCTACTATATGTTAAATACTGTGCCTGGTACTCAGGGTAGGAATGAAGGGTAATATATTAAAGACAAAATGGGGTCTCTGGGCTTAAGGAGTTCAAGGTCTAGATAGCAAGAAAGGGCTTCATCTTTCCCAACTTTCCTTTGCCTCCCCTGGCTTCTTACACTTCCTCAAATTCACTGAGCTCCTTCCTACCTCAAGGCCTTTGCAGATAACTGCCACCCTTCTTGCTGCCTAATCCATCCTTCAGGATCTGTTTAAATGTCACTTCCTTGGAGACCCTCCCTGACCACACCCTGTCCCCACCCTCTACCCCATCTAATTTAGGCCCCTCTGTTATTCATAATTTTATAATTTTTTCTTTTTTTTTGCCTTTGCAGCTCTTATCACTTGAATTATTTGCATTCATTTATTTATTTACTTACAGTCTATCTTGCCTCATTCATTTATAAGTTCTAGGAGGGTAGAAACTAGGTCTGTTTTGTTCACAGCTATACATCCAGCGTCAATTACAGTCAGACAATAGTGTTTGTGAAATATTTGCTTAATAACTGAAAGAGCACACACTCCTAAAGTAAATAAATAGCAATGTGAAAGTGTCTAGAACTGAAAGGAAATCACAATACTTTGTATGATATAGCAATGGTGGACACATGTCATTATACATTTGTACAACCCACGGAATGTACAACACCAAGGAGTGAACCCTAATGTAAATTATGTACTTTGGGTGATTATGATGTGTCAACATAGGTTCTTCAGTTGTCACAAATGTAACACCCTGGTGGGGGATGTTGATAATGAGGGTGGTTATGCATATGTGAAGATATATGGGAAATACCTGTACCTTCTGCTCAGGTGTGCTATGAACCTAAAATTGCTCTCCGAAAAATGAAGTCTTCCCCCAAAAAAAGGGAAATTGGAAATAAGACATGGACCTATAAGGAAGCAGTTGAGTAGAGAGAGGTGGAATAGACAGGATTTGATTACATGGAGAAGGGGACTGAGCACTGAGTTGGGAGAGCAGCATGAAGAGGAGCCTGGTGGTAAAGATAGGTTTACTGGTCTCAGAACAGTTGAAACGCTAGCTTGACTGCCTGATTCCCACTTGAAAATGGTGGAAGACTAAATTAGACAGTGGGTTCAGACCATACTGTGGAGGGGCTTGAAAGCTGTCCTAAGAGTCATACGGAGTCATTGGCAGTAGCAGTGAGACACGATGGAAGTAGTAGAGATCAACTGTGGGGTAGATGGTAAACTCAGCAAAGAACAAAGACAGGGTTCAGGAAGATGGACCAGCAGACCCTTGCAGTTATCCATGGTTGAGATTCTAAAGGCTCTTTGAAAGCAGGAATCCTATTTTTTATTCTTTTATATTCATCACTATGCCTTATTAAATTCTAAGTATTCAAGTTTGAACCACAGATAAGAAAATGGAGATAATCTGACATGGATACACTAATTAATCTTTAAATTAGAAGGAAAAAAACTGCGAAAACACAAGCATACATTTCCTTCAAAATTTCAAGTTGAACCATGAGTTTATTTTGTTCTATTTTTTATCATTGAGTATCTGGGGTAATTAGAGCATGAGTTTGCATTTTTTTCCTCTCTAAATCAAGAAATAATTATTCAGATTCCATGCATATATGGAGAATAGGGGCACAGAGGGAGAGTATCAGGACTATATTTTGTGTTTCTTGCCCAGATAACACTGTCATTTGCCTCATGCTCTCTGATACAGCATCATTTGCCTACTGAGCACTAATCACTAGTTTATAGAGGTTCTGAATGACACTGGGTTTACCCCTGGCCTCTCCATGTATTGCCTCATCCTGTCTATTTCCTTAAAAGTTTCTCTTTGAAATAGAACTCCAACAAGGTGAGAAAAATGCTTACATAAAACTAGTCTGAAAATGACCTCAAGTTAAAAGAGAATGTGAAATATAAATGTCTGTGCATTGTTAAAAATAACAATATCTGTATTTTTTGACATGGAAGAAGCCCTTGTCACAGAGACCCACATGTCCATGCTATCCTTCATGCATATTGTACATCTCTCAGGGATCAGCTTGTCACTTGGCCCCTTGGAACAAAGACTCCATTTCCTGCCATCTCTTCCAGCTGGCTGTGCCCATATGTCTAAGTCCATTATATGCCTATTGTAATATCTTTTAATGATGGTATCTTATATTTTATATCATCTTTCTTCCTAGAAGATCAAAGTTTTCTTATACATTTTCTAAAATAATATCTTTCATTAATTAAAATTTTAATATCCATAGAGTTCAAGACATTATAATATTTTTATTACCAAAGGATGTTAGAGCTGTTTTTTTTTTTTTAAAGAAAATAACTTTCCAACTCACCCATGGACATTTTTTCTTTTCTTTTTTTTTTTTTTTTAAGATTTGTTTATTAGAGAGAGAGAGGGAATGTGCATTTGTACCCACATATGTGCACAGGGAAGGGTCAGAGGGAGAGGGAAAGAATCTCAAGCTAACTCCATGCTAAGCATGGAGCCTGCTGCAGGGCTCAAGCTCACAACCCTGAGATCATGACCTAATCTAAAACCAAGAGTTGGACGCTCAACCAACTGAACCACCCAGGCACCCAGACATTTTCTTCTTATTTTAATACATGTAAATTTCTTTGAAAGAAAAAAAAAATGAAAATAAATAAATAAATAAAAATTTAAAAATTAAAAAAAAAGAAACAAAAACATGGAGAAAGAAGCAAGCAGTCTAATTTCATTTTTAAATGTGAGATAATTTTCCTGGTAATTATTTGCAAGAGAGATATTTAGATTACTTATTTAACATTTAAATCTAATTTGCGGCTAATAATGTGTAATTTATACTCCTCACATTTTGCATGAGATAACTGATGTGTGAGAAGTATATATCAGTCAGGGCTCTCTATAGTGAGCAAAAAGTAGTCAATTCTGGCTATTTTATTTTTTTATTATTTTTAAAAGATTTTATTTATTTATTCATGAGAGATAGAGAGAGAGGCAGACATATAGGTAGGCAGAGGGAGAAGCAGGCTTCCTGCAGGTAACCCGATATGGGGCTCAATCCCAGGACTCTAGGATCATGCCCTGAACTGAAGGCAAACATTCAACCACTGAGCCATCCAGGCATCCCAAATTCTGGCTATTTTAAATACAAAATAAATTTATTTGTTTATTTTAATTTTAATTTTTTATTTTTTATTTGAGTGTAGTTCACACACATTGTTGCATTAGTTTCAGGCATACAACATAGTGATTCAACATCTCTATCCATTACACTATGCTCACTACAAGTGTAGCTACCATCTGTCACCATACAACACTATTACAATATCATTGACTATATCCCTACGCTGTGCCTTTCACTCTGTAACTAGAAGCCTGTATCTCCCACTCGCCTTCACCATTTTGCCCATCCCACCACAACCCTCCTCTAAATTGATTTTTTTTTAAGATTTTATTTATTTGAGAGAGAGAGCATGAGCAGGGGTGGGGGTAGGAGAGGGAGAAGCAGACTCCCTGCTGAGCAGGGAGCCTGATGTGGAGCTCAACGTGAGTCTTGATCTCAGGACCCTAAGATCATAACATGAGCTGAAGACAGATTCTTAACCAAATGAGCCACCCAGGTACCCCTGGGTTTATTTTTAAAGTATTGGGAAGGTCATAGAATATTTCAGGGTGTGAAAACTGGATTTGGAGGCCACATTGCAGAACTGACATCCCTTTTGCCTTCCAAGTGAAACCAGCTAGTGAAAATGTCCTGGCTGAGCAAGGGCACAATTGGGTGACCTTGGCATGATTTTGAGGGATAAAGGCATACTTAACTATAAAAATGGGATATTATGGCCTTACAGGTTAAATTAAGTTTACATGATACAGATGATGACTGCTATTCCTAACTTAAGCACGAAAACATCCACCGTCTCATAAATCTTAAAAAATTGAGTCCACAGGACATTGTACATAATGCATATATTCTATCTGTTGTTTTACAAGTACAGATTAACATGCTCAATATTAAAGTCACCTGATTTATTTGTACATATTTAAGGCTCAAAAATGCCCCCCCCCCAAACTCTCATAGCTACCGAAGCTGCCATTAGGAATTTAAGAGGGGTTAAAATGGATTATTGGTAACAGTTCAGGCATAAGGTGAGGAGCCAGTGCTAGCAGTCTAATTAAGCAGTTTGCGATACAAACAGCTCATGAATTCTTCCTCTGACCAAAGCAGAAAGCACTTTTGTCCCCTCTGCAGATAGTTGTTATAAGTCAGCAAGATACCTTCACTTTGACTTGTTTCAGGGTTAGAGAGACAGGGTGAGAAATAGACATAGTCTTTGGTATACCCACCAGAAACATCAACCCTAACCGGAAGTGTGCTTTGACTTTTATCTGCTGCTTGTGAAAGAGGAGATGCCTCACTAATGTTCCCCCACTACATGACCTTGCTACCTTTTTTTTTTTTTTTTTTTTTTTTGCTTAAAAAACAAATATTTGTTATCTCAAAGTGTCTTTGAGTCAGGAACTCAGTAGAAGCTTAGCTGGATGGTTCTTGTTTAAAGTCTCATGTGGGGTTGCTGTCAAGCTAATCGCTAGAGCTGTTGCCATCAGAAGACTTGAGGTGGGCTGGAAGATCTGCTCTCAAAGTGGCCTGCTCATCTGGATGGCAAATGGGTCCTGGCTATTAGGCAAGAGGCGTCAGCTTTTTACCACATGGGCCTCTTCATAATGCTTTTTTTTTAATTGAGGTATAGTTGATATATATAAAACATTCTTTAGTTTCAGGTATACAACATAATTATGCAATATTTGTATACACTGCCAAACCATCACCACAGTAAGTCTGGTTAACACCCATCACCACACATAGTCACTAATTTTTTTTTTCTTGTGATGAGAACTTATAATAATACAACTTTCTAGCACTTAATGAACAAGAATATGTGCCTGGGATTGTGCCAAGCACTTGGATGCTTTATCCCCATGAGAATTCTGTGTAGAAGGCACTGCCAGGTCTCCATTTCACACGTGAGGAAGCTGAAGATCTGAAACTTTATGCAACTTTTTCAAGGACAAGCACATAATAGTGAGAGGTAGCCTGGCCTAGAATCCAGTCTGTGATGGCAAAGCCAGGGTGCCCAGTTCCCATGTTATACCTTGTGCCCTTCTGATGGTATCCTGGCCTTTCTTTCCTTCTTAGCATTCTTCTTAATGTCTCTCAACATCCTCCACTCCCCTTCACATCTCTCTCTTACCTGCCACTTAGTTCCATGGAAGTGCCCTGGGAGTGTAATTATTAGAATGATTACTGATGAGCTTCTATGTTCTAACTGGAACCTCGCAGAATCAGCCACAGAATAGTGAAATTATCAAACTACAGAGAGAGAACTTTATGCATCTTCTGCTCTATCCACTCTGCATTTGTGTCATATATCATTAGTAGAGTTGCCTAACATAGTATTACCTCTATAGGCTCAGTACCAGAGCTATTCCCTCCACCACACCAAAGGAAGACACAACCAGGCTGGAAACTTCACCAACCCCAAGTCATACTGGGAATCCATTTCCTTGCTTATCTGGCAGAGTGCTCCTCTCTGGCCTCAACTTGGGTTTATACTTCCCGCTGGGCCCTTAGTCCCTACATGCATTGCTCCAGCTCTGGGTTCTGGCTGATAAAGGGTTTTTCTTCTGAAGCTCCTAAGATACCCCACCCAAGCTCAGGTGATTCTGCACTAACTCTGCCTTTTCCTATTTTCTCCTTCAGGAGCAGGAGAGTCTTCAACACTCCAAGGAAGTCCACCCTCTTCCTTGACCCTTTTTGGGGATCCACCAGTCCTTGTTCAGGCTGATTCTAGCTGGCAAAAAAGCAAAACGTAAGGTAGGAGAATAAGGAAAGGGCCTCAACTGAGCCTCCTCATTCTAAAGGTATGCAAGCCATCCAACTGAACACCATCTTCCCCTGGAACTTGCTCAAAATAATTTTACTGAGGCATTTTGCACGTTAAGAGTACAATCTGGTGATTTTTAAAGTAAATGTATCAAATAGTGCAACCATCAACATAAATCCACTTTGGAACATTTTTATCACCCCAATAAGATTCTTCATGTCCGTTTGCTGTTAATTCCCTGCTCTCCACACTGGGAACCACATATCTAATTTTTGTCCCTATAGCTTGGTTTTTTACAGATGTTTCATATAAATGGAATCATATACCATGTGGTTGCTTGTGTCTGGCTTCTTTTCGGAGCATAAGGTTTTTGAGATTCATCTGTAATTTGATCCTTTCTAATGCTGAGTAGTTTTGCATTGTATAGCTATATATAACATGGTTTATCCATTCACAAACTTTGATGAACATTTAGATAGTTTGCAATTTGGAGCTATTATGAATAATGCTGCTATAAACTGTTATATTCAAATTGTTTTTAAACTTTAATTATCATTTAAAAAGAAGTGCAATGTGTAATCTTGTAATCTTGTATAATAAGTACAGTATGTAAGTACAGTATGTCTATAGAGTAAATTCCTGGGAGTAGAATTTTGGAGTCAAAAATATACATTTTTATAATTTGGGTCAGTATTGCCAATGTTCCTTCAATGGGGTGGCAATGCATGCATATTTCCTTGTATGTTCATTGGCTTTTGGAATGGTACAGGTGTAAGGTAGTATCTCTGTAATTTGAATTGTATTTCTTTTTATGAGTGAAGTTGAGTATACTTTTATATATCTAAAAGCCAATTTCGTTGCTTTTGTGAATTCTCTGTTCCTACAATTTTTTCCATTTTTCTTTTGTACTTTGGGTCTTTTCCGTATTGCTTCATAGGACAATTAATCCTTTGTTCTGATAGAAGTTGCAAATATTCTTTTCACTTTGGTGGGTTTTGACAAACAATTTTATTTATTTTTTATCATGGTAAAATATATGTAACATAAAATAGATGATTTTAACCATTTTTAAGTGTACAATTCAGTGGCATCAAGCACAGGTATTATGTTGTATAACCATCAACATTATCCATTTCCAGAACAGAAATCCAAAATAGAAACTCTAAACTCCTTAAATAACAACTTCCCTTTCCTCCCTTCCCAGTACCCTCCCACCCCGGGCGCTGGTAACCACTATTTCCAATTTATGTTTCTGTGAATTTAACTACTCTAGGGATCTCATATAAGTGGAATCATGGTACTCATCCTTTTGTGACTGGCTTATTTCATTTAGTATAACATCTTCAAGGTTCATCTATGTTGTAGCATCAGTCAGAATTTCCTTCCTTTTTAAAGCTGAATAATATTCCACTGTATGCATATGTCACATTTTGTTTATCCATTCATCAGAATTTTATTTTAATGTGGAAAAATCCATCTTTTTTTAATGAGTTCTAATATTTATGCTAATAAGGGGTATATAAATTCTTCTCTAGTTTCTTCTACATTTATAGCTTAATTTTTAAAATTTTACATTTGAAGCTCTGATTCAGCTGAAATTTATTCTAGTTGAATTTGCAAGGTTTACATCCAACAAAGAAGAAAGTCATATTGAAGATCAAGTTCCCCAAGAGACAGATTTTGAGACAGAGATTTGAACACGAAAAGTTTGTTGGGAAATGCTCTCAGGAATCATACCTGTAAGGAAATGAAGGAAGCAGAACTGGGCAGAGGAAGAAGTTGAATTGAGATTCAGTGGCAACAAAGCTTAATCTGATTCCATGAGCTCTGGATCTGGAATGTCCTTACAGAATTGTCTTAAATTGAGCAAAGAGGTCCAGGCTTTTGTATTCCTGCATCAACCAGTCCTTGGATATTACTGACCCTAAGGTATACTTTAAATGAGGCAGCTGCCTTTGGCTGAGAGCAATTTCTGGGGAGGGGCTCAGCCAGGAGCCTCAGTGAACAGCACTCCCAGCAGCTGGGGAAATCAGTGCCTTGGCCCTGAACCAGGAATATAGATGGTACACCACAGCATCCATTACACTGCCTTCCTAACACGAGTAACTAATGCATCTCTTTGCTAACTTTATTATATACAAAATCCTATATATGCTTGGGTCCCTTCCTGGATTTCTCTATTCCATTCCACTGATTAATTTTTTCATACATCATTAGTATACTGGTTTAAAAATTATAGTTTTATAATATGCTTTAATATATGCAAGAGCTAGTCCCTTCTCATTAACTTCAAAATTTTCCTGGAAAAGAAAATTTCCTGGATATTCTTGCTTGTTTATCTTTCTATATAAACTTTAGATCAGCTTGCTAATTAAATTTGGATGGGTGAGGATGACTGGATTAAATTTATAGATTAATTTAGAGAAAAAAGACATATCTATGATATTGAGCCATCACCCTCTCCAAGAATGTGTTTTGACTTTCCAAATTATCTTTTGTGTTCCTTACTGGTGTTCTAAATTTTTTTTTCTATAGGTATTATACATCTATTACTGTTTAATTTATATGTGGTGGTTTTATCCTTAATTTTTGTAATAAATGGGGTCTTTCCTGTGTATTCCTGACTAGTTGTTTGTCTGTATGAAGATTAATTATTTCTGTATATTAATTTTGAATGCCACCACCTTACTATATTCTTTTCCTGCTCTGGTAATTTTTTAGCTGATATTCTTGGGGTTTTCAGATATGCAGTTTTATAACTTTCAAATAATGACATTTTTGCTTCAGCTTTCAGTCCCTAATCTCTTTATTTTACTTAATAAGCAAAAGTATAAGATATTTTAAAACACTAAAACTCTGAAACACATCATTCACAACAGGAGAAGAAAGCTGTTGTGTATACTTTTACAGCTGTGGTTACCACACTCCTATAATTACATATTGTAGTTATAATCTTGTAAGTGGCTATCTCCATTGTAAATCATGATCTTCCTTAAGGGCAAGGACTGTATTATTCACTTTTATATCCCTGGCACTTAGCTTAGTGCCTCAATAAATGTTGGAAAATTGAGGAAAAATCAATAATCTAATAACCACAAACCAAAAACCAATAATCCTAAACAGGTAAAAATAACTATGATTTCCAAAGTGTTAATGTCAACTAGCCCTATTTCTCTTAAACTTTTCTAAACCATGGAACATAAAATAATGTTTTTTAGGTCTGAACACCTTCTCTCCTTGGCCTAGTTCTCTGTTCTGCCAACCAAGTGTAGGCCTCAGAAGCCTGGTAACCTCTCTATCACCAAATATCAATTGCTTGAGACAAGTGAGCCATGCTGGTCAGCTCCAGTGACCTGGACAACTTGGAGAATTGAACACTCCACCCTCCAGGTGTAGGGCAGATGTAATGTGAGTAATTCTGGAGAGCATAAACCAGAGACTGAAATCCTTCAGATAAGTTTTATATTTGGATCTATTGTTTTTAAAGATCTTTGCAAAAAAAAAAAAAAATCAAAATAGGATCTGGCCTACTACTCTGAGGTCTCTCAGTTTTTTTTTATTAATCTAAAATATTCTCAAAATACCATAAGTAGTAACAGACTCAACTGAAACTGGAGGTTACATGTACTCATTCCAAGTGAAGAAACCTCCCCCCTTGTAAGTAGGGCCAGCCCTAACCCAGAGGCAGCCCATCCAGGCACCTTCCTGAAATGTTAGCAACTAAAAGCATTCTGTTCACAATAAGAAAACCATTTCCCCCCTACACCCTGATTGGAATGTCCCTGAATAGGTTCCTGTTGACCCTCTGAAATCAACCTGGATGCTATGCGACTCCCGCGGTTCTTTTGCCTTTAGGCGGTTTCTTTCCTTTTGCCTTTAAAAGATCCCTGTAATTGCTAATCGGGGCTCTTTTCCTCCTCGGAGGCGGAGAGCCCGTTTGGGCAAACGTTCAATAAACCCTCTTGCTGATTGCATCTGCCTGTCTGGGGTCTGAGTCTCTGGGGCGTCCACCGGGACACGTTGGCACCCGTGAGCCAGGGTCCAACACAAGTCCAGTGCTCTTTCTAGCAGATTACCATGTTGTTTCTACTTGAATTTAACTCATCAAAAACTTTCAGTTCTCTTCTATTTTGGTGATGGTGGTGAGTGCCTTCTAATGTTGTCAATATTCCTAGGAACATTAACACACAAAAGGAAATTACAGTAATATAAACAATAAAATCTCAGCCAGAATTTATAGAATAGATACCCGGTTAATACAATAATGAAGTACTATTTCACATTTATTAAACTACTAACAAATTCCATAGTAATAATTTCTAATGACAGAAGATTGTGTTGAAATGCTCCTTGATGCAGCAGTATAAATGCTATAATTTTTTTGGAAAGCAATTTGGTAACAGATAAAAAGAGACCTAAAGATAGATGTTTGCCCCCTTTTACTCCATCATCCTACTACTCAGGATTGATATAAGGAGTTAATTCAGTTGAATAAGACAGTCATCTGAAGGAAGATATTAATTTTATGTAAGATATAGTCTATAATAAAAATAAACCTGAATGGCCCACAATAGAAGGATGGTTTTTGAAAATTATGCTACATCAATTGAAGGGAATGTTATATCCACATTAAAATCAGATTTATGAAGACTGTGTAATAATATGTGGAAAGAGTGCTTTATGACAGTGTTAAGTTAATAAACACAAAAGCACATGTACATGAAGATAATCAGGCCCCCTACCCACCCTGCAAAAATATGTATCAACTAGGGAGAAACACAGAAAAAAATAAAATAGATGTATTAGGAACTGATATAATTAAAAATTGCCACAATTTGAGTTCCCCAGAAAGCAGAGTCTGAGATGGAGATTTGAATGTAAGACATTTCTACCTCTTGATCCTCCTTGTGATCAGCACCTGGGGGGCAACTTAGAGGAAGGTTCATTAACATAGAACTAAAAACTAGTCTTCTCCACTGCACCTGGTCTC